GAAAGAAAGAAAGAAAGAAAGAAAGAAAGAAAGAAAGAAAGGATTTATTGAATTTACATGACACCCGGTGGCCAAATTAAAATGCTTATCAAATCCCTTATGCCACCAGACTTGAAATTTAAGGCTTAGACCACCTAGAACTACGCCACTTTCGGTCTGACCTAAGCATAGTACATAAAATTACCCATTACAATGTTCTACTTGTCAATGACTACTTCAGCTTCAACCACATAGCACATGGGCAAACAATAGGTACAAACTCAAAGTAAACCGCTCCAAACTCGACTGCAGAAAATACGACTTCAGCAACAAGAGTGGTCAATGCCTGGAACTCACCACCCCAAAAAACTTTTAACCTTAAACTGTCTACCGTGGACCTCACCCCATTCCTAAGGGGTCTGTAAGAGGGCGTGCATAAGCGCACCAGCGTGCCTACTGTCCCTGTCCTACTCTTCCCATTTATTTGTATTCATTTATTATGTATATACTTATACCTGTTTATTACTTATCTGTTTTGTTTTAGAAGGGGGAGGTATCATTTTGCAGAGTCAAAAACCTTTAATTCAGAATTTGCACAAGTCTAAAAAAGTATTGCTTACTAGTGGGCACTAATATATATATATATATATATATATATATTAAAGTTTTTTATTTTTATTTAAAAAATAAATAAAATCCATCTTTCAGTTATACAGTGTGTCGACTGGGTGCATATATATCTTGTGCAAATATTGATATTTGTATGCATTTCTTAGTAAGTTTACATTCATATTACAACCTTTTCATTATTATATATCATTATTAACAATATCATTTAATTTCTTACTGCATCTTCCAACCATTTATAAAATAAATCCCAAATCATATAACATTCCATTTCTTCTTGTTCTCTAATTGCCCATGTGAATCTACTCAATTTCTGCACATTACAATATTTTCTTAATCACCTCCTCCTCCTCCAACCTTTCCATTTTTCCAATTTTGAGCAAATACAATTCTAGCTGCTGTTAATATATGTATAATTAAATATGTCATTTCTTTACTATAGTTCTTGGGTAAAATCCCCAATAAAAATATATCAGGCTTTAAATCTATATGTTGTTGTTTGTCATCTTTTCCAACCAAGTATGTATTTTGTCCAATATCTTTTAGCTTCTGTGCATGTCTACCACCTATGATAATATGATCCAGGTATCTAATGATATTTCCAACATTTCACTGATTTAGGCACTAATGTATTTTTTTTTAAAAGATCAGTGAAGCTTTCCAATTATTAAAAATACTGGGAAACATGTAGATTTGAGATCTGAAATGTTTTTATTGGATAAAATATCAGGGAAAAAATGGATAAGGAATATGTATTTAATATTACACGTCTTAACAGCAGTGAGGATTATACTGGAAATACAATACTGGAAAAATGAAGATATACCACGAGAAGAAGAGATAGTCAGGAAGATACCAGATTGCGCAGAAATGGATAGACTGACATTGAAAAATTAAACAGACAGAAGATGTGGAATATGATCAAACATGGGATTTATGTTACCAATGGTTGGGAAAAAGGGAGTGGAAATTAAGAGTGTCAATTTGTATGGTTAAGCAAATGAAATACCCAGCCAACACAATGTTTATTAAGCACTAAGAAATGTATTTAATAGAAAATCAATCATTTTTTTTAAAAAATGAATATATATATATATATATATATATATATATCCCCCATTTTTGCACATATGATGTTTAGTTGGGTCTCCTCTGGAGCATCCATAGTCATTCTCAAGGCCATAATCGACCAGGGATACCTCTGTTATGAGGTTCTCTAAGAGGGGGAAGGTGGAGAGATGAAGAGGAAGGAGCAGGAAGCCACTCACAGGAAGTGAGGTCAGGGGGCGCATAAGAGTCATTCAAGTCAAGGGTGGTGGGCTTGGCCACCTTCAGGTACACAACGTCAAAGGTGTTCTTCAGAGCTGCCACCGCATCTTCATGCATGACGTCCTCCAGGCTCACATTGTTTACCTGCAAGGAGGAGAAGAGAGGGCGGTTGAGTGACGGGCTCATCTGTGGCGTTGGGTTGAGCATCCCACCCAATCCGTTTTCATCTGGCTAGTTATCAGCAGAGTATCTGCTTAGTATTTGTCAACTTTGTCTACTTTAAGAGGTGTGAACTTCAACTCCCAGAATTCCCCAGCCAGCATGGGGAGTTACACATCAGAGAGAAAGGGAGATGTAATCCCACACTCGCTGAAGAGGATCGATCCCTCTTGTGGAAAGCGGTGAAGTTTCCCCAACTTATGCTTATTTGTGTCCCCAGAAAGAAAGAGACAGGGACATCACATATATCATGACTTAAATGCACCAATTCATGAATTGGATTGAGTTGGACTAGGGTGGGTTGGGTTGGGTTGAGTTGAGTAAAGTGAAATTAGGTTGAGTTGAAGCGTTGGGTTGAATTGAGTTGGGTTGGCTTAGATTAATTTCAATTGAGTTGGGATGAGTTGAGTTAGGTTAGGGAAGGTTAAACTGGGTTGAGTTGAATTATCGGGTTGGGTAAGGTTAAGTTAGGTTGAGTAGAGTTGGGATGGGTTGAGTTGAGATTAACTTCAACTGAGTTGGGTTGAGTTGAGTTGGGTTGGGTAAGATTAAATTAGGTTGCTGAACTGAGTTGAATTAGGTTGGGTATGGTTAAATTAGGTTGAGTTGACTTGAGTTGGGTTGAGTAAGGTTAAATTAAGCTGAGTTGAATAGTTAAGTTGAGTTGGGTTGGGTTAAGTTAACTTGAACTTAGTTAGGTTGAGTAGAGTTGAACTGAATATCTGAAGCATTATGATTGTCCTTCTATCAACCATGTTCCTCTATACTGAAATTATCTAATTTTGACTAACTCTAGATTTAACTTTGGGGGGAAATTACGTTCTTGTAAGACAGCTCCTCCACCCTGGTTCTTGGGAACCCACCTACCCCAGGCCTTACCGCTAGGATTTTGTCCCCGATCTGCAGCTGCCCATCCTTGTGGGCTGCCCCGCCCTCAATGATTTTGGTGACGTAGATACTGTTGTCCCCAGGAATGTGCTGGTTGCCAACACCGCCCGCAATGCTGAAGCCCAGCCCTGTGGAGGAAGACCAGAGAAGGATGTTTGGGAGGAGGTCACCTTCTCAGGGAGAGACAGAGCGGGGTGCGCGCAGAGGGGGACTGTTCCAATTCTGCGTGTTCTGCCCTAGGCTTCCTTAGAAAGCAGAAAACACTATCTTACTTCCGGTGAAAACTCTTTTATTTCCATGGCTGTGAATTACGTTCATTCACAGCCAGCCAGGCTTCGCAAACAGTCTTTCAGGGGGATATTTATAAATGCCCACCTTATTGCGCTTGGAACGCAGCCAGAGAATGAATTGCCAAGCGCAGGGCAAGGCCAAACTTGACACAGAGTCAAACAGAATTTTTCAAAGCTTGAACCAACCGGACGAACTACTTGCTTCCTGCAAAAGCTCATGTCCCCTTCGCTCCTTTTTGATGTCCTATGGGAGGGGCCAATCATCTCCGAGGTGTGGCCTTATTCCTGAACAAGTCAACCCTTGCTCCTTAACTGTTCCCCTCGCCTGGCAGCTCTGCGCCAGCGCACACTGGGAACAGGCTCCAGCTGTTCTTCTACCCCACTGATCTCCAACTCCGAAGGCAGCTGATGACCGCTAGCCTACTCTGGCCCCATCGCTGCCTCCAATGGCCCTCGTCCGAGCCCTCCCCGGCCTCCAAGACTGGCCTAGGTTCCTCCCCAACCTCCTTGCTACTGTCTGACTCTGCTGCCAGCTCCGTCAGCCGCCGGCGGGCCACAACACTGTGTAGTTTGGAGAACTGGCAAATCGGACCACTGGCTGGCCCCGTGCCCACCTGTTTTTTGGGCATTTTCGGTCATTTGGGGGGGGGGAAATGGCCTGACAACAGCCCCAAAAATAATCTGTTTTGGGGGGCATTTTCAGCCATTTTTGGGCCATTTTCAGGCTGATTTTAGCCAGGAAAAACAGCCCAAAACTGGCCGAAAACTGGCCTGAAAACAGCATGAAAACTGGCCTGCAAATGGCCTGAAAGCCTGCAAATGGCATGAAAATTGCCCAAAATGGCCTGAAAACCGCCTGGAAAATGGCCTAAAAATGGCCTGAAAACAGACTGAAAAATGACCTGAAAATGGCCTGAAAAACGGCTTGAAAATGGCCCCAAACAGCCTGAAAAATGCCCTGAAAAGGGCCCAAAAATGGCCTGAAAACACTTTAAACACTTTAAAATGGCCTCAAAATGTCCCGAGTCTGAAAATGGCCTAAAAATAGTCTTTAAAATGGCCTGAAAACAGCCTGAAAAATGGGCCCCAAATGGCCTGGAAAAACGGCCTGAAAATAGCCTGAAAATGGCTTGAAAATGGTCCAAAAATGGCCTGAAAACAGCCTGAATGTGGCCCCAAAATGGCCTGAAAACAGCCTGAAAAATGGCCCCAAAATGTCCTGAAAACATCCTGAAAAATGGCCTGAAAATGGCCTGAAAACAGCCTGAAAAATGGCCTGCAAACAGCCTGAAAAATGGTCTGAATATGGCCTGAAAACATCCTGAAAACATTCTGAAAATGGCCCAAAATGGCCTGAAAACATCCTGAAAATACCCTGAAAATGGCTGAAAAAAAGGCCGAAAAACAGGTGGGGGCGGGGCCAGCTAGTGATGTAATTAGCCCCAACCGGCTGAATCCAACCTCTGCCTTTGAGGCGAGTGGCTGGGAGGCGGGGCTGGGTGTGATGAGTGACATCTTCCACCCAGTCACATGACCAACTGTCCACGCCTATCCAGCCAGAGAACCGGTGGTTCAAAAAAATTTGCAGCCCGCCCCCTGGGTGTAACGCAGAGGTGAAAACGCCTGGAAAAAAAACATTTTCATAGGGCTGAATTCCTTTTCACACTTTTAAGAAGGTCCCACGCAATCTTAGATTTGGAAGATCATCTAGTCCAACCCCCCCGCCCCCCCCCCGCTCTGCCCACGCCAGGATCCACTGCATCTGGATAACTTGGAAGGCCTTCCAGCCAAGGAGAAATTGAATTTCGAAGGTAGGCAAAAAGAGACCCTGGATGCAACAGCCGCTCGCTGTGCTCAGCACCTAACCTTAAAAGATACACTGAGCCTGCCACTGGAGGCTCCATTAGCCTCGCTAGGGGTGGTGGGGTGGAGGGTCCCTAATTAGAAGTACAACCAGGTATTAATTGTCCCCTTGGCTTGTCAAACCTGAAGATGGGTGGACTTCAACTTCCAGAATTAATGCCCTAGCACTAATCCATTCCTTTTGCCATGCACACCCATACTCTCTTGTCATCCCTTTCTCTGCTTTTAGGCGATAGGAGAAAAGGCACGAGAAACCTTGATTTCGGGTAATGTGGGTCCACCCTATTGAGAAATGGGGGTTCATCGAAGCCACAGAGCACCCCTAAAGAGGAGTGGGAAGTCCCTGAAAATCTCTGGGAGTAGGGGAGCAGACGGGGTGGGGGGGCCTCACCTTTAGGGCCTTTGATCAGCTTAATCTCGATCACCTTCTCCGCCAGCGGTTTCCTGCGCATGACGTAGAGCCGCACGATGGAGCCCGCCTCCTTCAGCGCCTCCACTGCCGTGCTGTGGGTCACTTCCCGGACGTCCACATCGTTCACAAAGAGGATGCTGTCATTCACTCTGTCCGGGGGAAGAGGGGGGGAAAAAAATCACAACACACCCCACAAAAAATCAGAATTATACACCGCCCAGAGTCCTCTGGTTGAATCGGGCAGCTAGAGCAGGGTCAGCAACCTGCGGCTGTGGAGCCGCATGCGGCTCTTTCATCCCTCAGCTGCCCCTCCCTGTTGCGGGTTGGTTTCACAATTGATAGCGCTTTCAGTTAGGACAGGAAGAGGAAAAAGGACGCCACGCTAGGAGGAGATTCTATGTTTGGAGAACTTCGGTCACCTAGTTACTATCTCTGAAAACATTTATGAAATGCACTTTCAGTTTTGCAAGCTGCCACACTGCTCCCCCCTCCTTTTCTACAAAGACCATAGAAATATTTTATGAGTTGACATATGAATTTTCGAAAAGGCCTGTTTGAGGCCTTTTCCGGCCTCAGAGGCTCAAGGGAAGCCTTTGCAGGCCGAAAAATAGGCCCGTTTCATCACTTTCGGTATTTCCGGAAATACTGAAAGTGACAAAACGGGCCCATTTTTTTCCGGCCTCCAAAGGCTGCAGAGGCTTCCCTTGAGCCGCTGGGAGGCCAAAAATTAGCAGGTAAGGGGGCAGTGTGGGGAGATTGTGCGCGCATGCGCAGGGGGCATGGGGGGCTGCGCGCATTGCCTTCTGGGTGCTGGCGTGCAAGCGTGCGAGTGCAAGCGCATACACAATTTTTGGCACCAGGAGCCCAAACAGGTGAGCTACCACTGTTCTAGGTGGGCCGAAACACTGAGCCCAGCAAGAGGGACGGAGCTGTCTCTGCAGGGGCTGCCAAGGATTCTCACCGTAATCTGCCATCTTGAGCAGCCGCCCCTCCGGGGATGATTTTGGTGATGAAAATACTGGGGTCGTCGCCAACGTGAGGATTGTCGGTGCCGCCGGCGATGCTGAAGCCCAGCCCGGAGTTGCCCTATGGGAGAGTAAAGTCTCAATGCAAATGAACCGATATCATGGCAACATCCGACTGAAGAAACCAGGATTGGTTAAATGCGGGGGATTGGATCACGCGACGTGAAGGCGGAGTTTCCCACGATCTGTGGAGAACCAGAAGTCTACCAGTCTAGTCTAGCGTAGTGTTTCTTGACCTTTTAAGATAGGTGGACTTCAACTCCCAGAATTCCTTAGTCAACAGGGCATCCTTCATGACCTGGGGACTTCAACTCCCAGAATTCCCCAGCCAGCTAGTCATCCTTAAGAACCATTTGTGCGGGCAGGCGAGCCCCAGGCAAACTTACCTCACTGCGCATGGGCGTGCCTCCCGGGTGATTTTCAGGTCTTTTTCGGCCTCCCAGAGGCTCAAGGGAAGCCTCTGCAGCCTTTGCAGGCCGAAAAACAGGCCCGTTTCATCACTTCTTGTATTTCCGGAAATACCGGACGTGCCAAAATGGGCCCGTTTTTCGGCCTGCAAAGGCTGCAGAGGCTTCCCTCGAGCCTCTGGGAGGCTGAAAAAGGCCTCAAATGGGCTGAAAATCAGCAGTGCAGGTAAGTGGGGGGGGGCGTGGGGAGATTGTGCGCACATGCGCAGGGGACGTGGCCCCCCCCATGCACATTGCCTTCTGGGTGCTGGCATGTGAGCGCCAGTATTAACACTTCACATGATATGTATCCCCATTGTGGTCCGCTTACTCTCTTCTAATCCCTTTCTCTGCAATCTCTCCATTTCAGGAGATAGGAGAGAAAAAAGAAACAGGCAGGGGA